TGCCATTACACCTTTTCTTTAGAACCGTTCTTAGGTTTCACAAATTGGCTCCTAACCAGTTCGTTCCAAACGCCTGGCTCAGCTCATGGGGTCTTACTTTCTTTGGAAGGAGATATCATTATGCGAGGACATGCCCTTCCACATATTTCAGACCTTCCTTCAACCTAGGTCTTAGGTAAAGAGGATTCCAAAATGTGGTATTTCCTATGTCCTTGGGGGTCACATACTCCCTTTGTCACCACCTTTCCCTCATTCATCAAAGGGTGGAAGGAGATGTGATTTTGGGTAAGGGGGAAGTGGTAGGTGTGCTAAGGCAACACCATTGCCACGTGACAGTTCTGACTTCCTACTTAGAAGCCAGTAAGTGTAGTACCTTATGTTTTATTGAGTAATTGTACTGATGTGGATTTTGATGCCGTATTCTTTTTTCTAGAAGGAGTTGATTGATTTGAGCTCAGTTCCTCAGAACTTGAGCTTATAAAGGACATCTACTTGCATCCGGCTTCTTCAAGGGAATTTGAGAGGCTAATCGTTTCCAAACGATTTTTTCAACCCGATGGTTTGGAGAGGTACTTTTACAACCCCTAAGTAATCATCGCTTTGCGTCACTTTGATATTTTCTTTGCTTTGTATTTTTATAGACTTGTTGGTTTGTTTTGTAGAGAACTTCGAGAAGAGGAGGCACCTTTTTTAAAAAGTGCAAATAATCTTGGCCAGTAGCAACTTCCCTATTGACCCTCTCAACTTGATCCTTCATCTGTTTACCAGTAACAAATGAGGGCTTCAACCCTTTCCTCCCTAAGTTTGGCCTAAAATTGCAATTTATTTTTTCTTTGGATATAGAGTGAATTATTCAAATGGTCACTGAGCTTTGCAAAAAGTTTTCAAGGGGTCACTGAATTTTAAAAATCACTTAAATGGTCACCGAACTTTGCAAAATATTTTTACAAGGTCATTGAACTTTAAAAATCACCTAAATGGTCATTGAACTTTACAAAAAGTTTTCTTGATGTCACTAAATTTTCCAAAAGATTTTCCAGCAGTGATCCTTGGGAAATATTTTTCAAAATTCAGTAACCATTTATGTGATTTTTAAAGTTCAGCGATCTCATAAAAGCCTTTTGCAAAACTCAGTGACTATTTATGTGATTTTTAAAGTTCAGTGATCCCTTGAAAATCTTTTGCAAAGTTCAGCGATCATTTGGACAATTCACTCGAAGGATATATTGGTTATTTTATGTTAAAAAGTGGTGAAAAAGGACGTTCATAACAAAGAAAGGCGAAAGGTAGGGGGGAAGATATCAAAAAATAAAAGGTACGAGCGTTTTTCACAATAAACTTAAAAGGTAAAAAGGTTTTGTGCCAATTACCAGTTATGAAATCCACAACTTTTAAACCATATCATTTTTTATTATAATATGTTAAAAATTTAATTTTAATCCGCAGACTTAAATTTTTTATCATAGTTATTAACTTCGCCTTTGATTGCTCTGTTGGCAGATGAAGCAAAACATTCAAGAATGATGCTTCAGAACCCAAGATAAAATCTCGAGTTTCGCTCCAAGGTCTAGGTGGCAACACCTCAACCTTGGATCTTCACACATGCGGGGCCCGCGCCTTTTACATCGGGGGCCAAGGTGGGGATTTTATCCCGGGATCTTCGGCTTTTTTCGACATTCAAAGTCTACACGCTTTTCTAAACAAAAACTCTCAAAATGGCCGGGCCATCAACGTTACACGTCTCCAAACTGGGCTCCACGATTCACTGCCAGCTATTTTCGCTTGTAAAACCACGAATATCAAAGATAAAAGAAAGGGAAAATTTTCCCTCCAAATTCCCAAAAATGCATTTAACAATTGGGGAAACCAAAATCTCTGCCCGATTTACAGAATCTGCTCATGAAACCCCTTTATATAAATTCACTCAATATTCACGCCGTCACCCCTTTATACTGCAAAGCCATTCTCAAAATCTTGGGTTTTCAGTTACTCTTTCTCGCAGTGGTTTTGATTTGTTCTTTGAGGTAAAAAGAAGTTTAAATTTATACAGGTTTGAGATTATTTTCACGAGCAATTGTACATGTACGTATCGTTGAATTTTTATGCAAAACATGGTATATTTTGTGGTAAATATTTGATTATTTATTATTTATTATTTATTATTTATTATTTATTATTTTTTTATTGTTATAAACATAATGGTTTATGGGTTTGCATTTCATAAAAAGCTCAGTGTCTGCTTTTTCTTGGTTTTAAAGTAAAAAGATTGGGTTTATAAATGTTTTAGTGAATCTTTCGAATTGAATGTACAGGCCATGGTACTTGTTGCTGGGAGACTGGTTTTATCATTTTTGTGATTTGGCTGATTCTAGGAATGCATGATTTTTTTTGGATATATATATGGGTTCTTAAGTTTCTATTTTCTGGTTTTCGGATTGAATGCGTCTGATTTGTTTAGAAAAGATTAACATTTGGTGATTGACTCTATAATTTGAATATGATTGGCATAAAGGTTTATAATTGTTTCTTGATTATATGCGAATAGAGATAATGTAGTTTTAATGTTATTAATTTAGGATTTTGACGTTCTCTATGGTCTAATGTATAGTTCTTCATGCTTTGTTGAAAAAGGAAGACTTGCTGTTAAGATCTGTATTTTGAATTTGGAAAAGTTTCATCCCTTTATGCTGAAAAAGGGTTAATTCACTGATTGATGGATTCACATTATCTTTTTGTGAAATTGGGTAAAAACTTGTCTAATGGATTCAATCTGTTTCCAAACCCATTTTCATTAACACATTATAGATAATAAATATATTTCCACTTTTAAACTTAAAGTCGGGCTTTGTCTGATATGCATTTATTGTCCAATGTTTATGATCATCAGACTTTTATGAATTTCTCTATGTTGCAGGAGAGTTTATCCACCAAGATTCCTTCTGTTAGATTTTTTCTGCTCGTTTACTCTTCACGCGCATCTCCTATACTTATTTATTCCTTTCCACTTTTAAAGCAAATGTAATTTAGTTTGTTGATTCGTAATATTAAAGTTATCCCATAGAAATCCAAGACGATTCTTAGCATCTCAAAGAGAGGTTTATAAAATCCTTCTTTATTTTGATGTATTTTTGTTCCCAACTGCTCAACATTGTGTCAATACTTTCTGCATTTACTAGATTCTTGAACCTTTCTATAAACTTTTCTTTCTATTCACGAAAACTGCAAAAGGTAAAGGGTACTTATTTCAGCCTTCTTCATCAATGTTCTGTACTTATATTATTGTATCTATCAATCTTATGAATGCTTAGTTCTTAAATTGTGTTCAATTATAGATGTGGTAGCAACTGTGATCAGTTACAGACTGAATTGTGTTATTTTGTGCATTTAAATACACATACTTACCCAAGGAAACAACTTTTTCATCATTTAGAGAAGCTATTAAAAATTTCAAAAAATTGTTCTGACAACAATTTGTCTGTTATTAAATGCAGAGATCAGGATCAAGATGTCAGTAGAAAACATTAACGTGCAGTCCGTGGCAAACGCCTTTGTGAAGCAGTATTATCATTTTTTTCTTAACTGCCCTGAAGTTGTCCATAAGTTTTATCAGGAGTCAAGCCTACTAGGCTGGCCAGGGGCTGATGATGCAATTACATCAGTGACAACGTTGGAAGTAAGTTACTTGGGAAAATGAGGCTGAGTTCTCATAAATTCATCGCATATTTGTTTTGGATTATACAATAGAATATCAACTTCATTAACTGTAATTCAGCTAAAAACAATCAACTTATTTGCAAGTAAGCTTTATGAAGAGTTGACATATAAGCATCAAAATAATTGCTTTTGTGCTGAATTTTATCAGTGTTTTTTAAAGTGCAATTACTTGGAGTTTTTTTTGTAACTTATCCATAATTTTCTTTTTCTTTCTTACTTTTATCTACCTTTTAGGTTGTTAATGTGCTTTCAAAAATCATTTTCTGGGCTTTTTTATTTGTTTCTATGAAACTTCCTTTGCCAATTGTTATATAACTGTGCTGAATGCGTTGCATGCGGCTATTTTTTCTACTTTTGAACTTGTTGGAACTTCGTACCTAAATAGAAGGAATTTACATCACTTCGTAACTTCCATGCCAAATTTTGGGGTTTTCCTCCAGGTTACTTATTTCGCTGTTTTAACTGTACAAGTCAACCTTGAGGGGTAACTCAATGATTAGATCTTGGATTTGCTCTCCAATGGTCACCAGTTCGAGTCCCCTCAGGGTCACTGAGGTGAGTATCCGGCTGTAAATTTTAGGGTCTCGTGGGATTGGTCGAGGTGCGCGTGGACACCCGCGGTAAAAAAAAAATAAAAAAAAAAAAAAAAAAAAAAAATTCTTGACAAGACAAAAT